TTTAGTGGACCGCCTTTTTTTTTTTTTTTAATTAATTTAATGAGAAAGAGTCCGGGGGCATGAGGAGAGAAAGGGGAGGAGGAGGAGAGGTAGAGAGAGGAGGAGAGTGGGGTGGTATGTTTGAAGGTCTCACCAGGCTGCTCCACCTTCCTGTCCCAGCCTCCCAGCCAGCCAGGCCTGCACGTGTACCCACCATGCCTGGCCTGTTCAGGTTGGGCCAGGAACCAAGAAAGAGTCCGGGGGCATGAGGAGAGAAAGGGGAGGAGGAGGAGAGGTAGAGAGAGGAGGAGAGTGGGGTGGTATGTTTGAAGGTCTCACCAGGCTGCTCCACCTTCCTGTCCCAGCCTCCCAGCCAGCCAGGCCTGCACGTGTACCCACCATGCCTGGCCTGTTCAGGTTGGGCCAGGAACCAAACCTGGGCCTCGCCTGGCCTCAGCCCTCCCAGGAGGCATGCTCAGCATTAAGCCACCACAGCAGCGCTCCATTTCTATGCAAACTTTATTATTTTAAATTTGTGCTTTCTTAGAACTGAGGCTCTTGGCTTTAGCTCCAGGAGTTTGCTTTTCTGACGGGGTGACTGAAGTTATCAAAGACTACATTCGTTTTGTGGTTTTACAAGAGTGCTTGAAAAACCCATCCAAAAAAATACTACAAAGAGCCACTTAGAAAACAGAAAGCAAAGTTTGGTAAAAGGAAACCAACTGGTGTCATCCATCACTCAGAGCTCGCTGGAGAGCAGGGCTTTGTCCCTTAACCATGCATCACAGGGATGGCACAGTGGGCGACTGGCCTGTGAATGAATGGACCTACCCTGTGAATGGGTAGATCAATGTACATGCCCGTGGCCACGATGTAGCTGCTGGGCTGTCAGAAGTGTCATAACGCATTTTTGCAGAGAAAAACAAAGAAAAAATATGCCCTGACTTTTCGGACGACCTGATAATTTCCTAGTATGAAAAATGAGTATCTGGAAAATGCATTTTTTTTTAAAAAAAGAATGATTTATTTAACTTTATTTCTCATCATTATTTTTTAATTAGCTATAGGACATGGATGCTCCCCAGAGAGAGACAGAGGAAGAGAGAGAGAGAGAGAGAGAAAGTGAGAAAGTAAGCCGCCAGGTCCAGGACTTGAACTGTGGCCGGCCATGTGGGAGTTCAGCACATTGAACACCATGCCACCTGCTGGCTCCCAGATGGAAAATGCTTTAAAACAAGTCTCCCTCCACAGTCACTGTGCTTATTCTATACATTCTATACACGTGTTTTGGTGTTTGGCCACCCAAGTGTATCTGGCCAGGCACTAAAACTGAGCAAGTCACCCTAGCATAGCCCCAGCTCTAATAGGGACAATGAGCTTAAAAGTCCCCTGCAGCTCTAAGAGCCCAGTTAGAGGAGACAGAGGCCACTAAGGACAGAGAACTGCAAAAGCAGGAACATGGCCAACAGCCAGAGAGGAGGCTGCATTGGTAACGAAGACACAGAACAGCTGTTCGGTCAGTGCTCGGCACGGCCGGCACTGTCCTCAACACATCACACATTTTCCGCGTTCACAGCCTGCGAGGAGAGTGGTGAGAGTACAGGCATACACAGACAAAGGGCCGGCACAGGAGGGTAAGTAACTTGCCCACGAGCACAGCTGCTGAGGCCCGGCCTGCAGGTGAGACGTCCTCCTTACTCACCTGCGCGTTGGCATGCTCTATACTCTACGTAATCACTGTACTCTGCACAGAGGAGGAGCAACTGAGGTCGAGAGTGCAGAGCCTGAGGACGTCAAAAACCACGCACCACCCTGCGCGAAGCCTTCTGAACTCAATGACTCCATTGAGTTTACACAGGGCAAACTGGGGTGCTGGGAAACCAGGAACTCTGGACAGCACTGACTGCAGGCCTGGGCTCACCCTGGCTCCTTCACAGCGCCCCTGCACGTTGAAGGCAGCACCCAAGAATGCAATGCTTTCTGGCAGGCTGGAGGCAAGCCTGTGTAAGTGGGTAGATTTCTTTCCCAAGGAGATTTTTTCAATCTGAGTTAAGCCATGTTTAAAAGGCACTGGCATTATCTACTTTGCATGCTACTTTGACTCTGTCATTTACTTAAGTGCAACCAAAGTTCTTATAGTGCAGAATGTCACATGACAGAAAAGCTGATGGATGTGAAACCACACAGACTCTCACTGTCCCAGCAGAGCTATGGCTCCATGAAGAATAAATGAAAACACTAACTTTAAAAAATATTCATGTTCGGACCAGCAGTTAGCATAATAGCTATGTCGCTGGACTCCCACGTAGTCGACTGTGGTTCAAGTCCTTGACCCAGCAGCTTAAACTCACGCCAGGCACGTGTGCGTGCATGCCCAAGATCTCAAGAGGAGAATGGAGAAGGGACTGCAGCGTGGCAGTCACCCCTGGGGAGTGATTTCTCACTTTCCATCTCTCTCTGTCTTCCTGGTGAGCGCACGCACCCTATAGCAAAAACCTTTCCCCCGCCAAAAAAAAAAAAAAAAAAAAATTCGGGACCAGCAGATGGTGTAAAGGTTGGATTGCTGTTCTCCCATGTAGTTGACAGTGGTTCGAGTCACAGATCTGGTGGCTTAAAACTCACATAGCGCACGTGTGCGAGTGTGCCCAAGATCCTGAGAGGAGGATGGAGGAGAAGGGATTGTGGCGTGGCCATCCCCCCCGAGATGGTGGTGGTGGTGGTGGTGATTTCTCACTTTCTGTCTCTATCTTTCTGGTTAGTACACATACCCTACAGCAAAAACCTCTCTTTAAAAAAAAACAAAACATGCTAGAAGGATGAGGGGAGTTCATTTAAGGTGTCAGTCTCAACTGAAGATTTCACTCATTAAAAGTAAATGCGTGTGCTGCTTTATTTTTGTGAGATTTCATGGGCAGCTCACAGCCAAGCCCTGCTGGCTCAGGCCGCTTTTCCAGCGACGATGTCACCTTGACTGGAGAGTCTTCAAGACGCTTTGTTCTATAGTTCACTGCAGTTCGACTCTCGCACCTTCGATTTCCCTCAGATAATAATTTTAGTGAAATTACATAAATAATAAACTTCTAAAGCATAATGGGAAAAGTTTTTAAAAATGTATGTTAAATACTATTAAAAATGTTTCGCTCCAAATTCGGCTCTACTGTGAAGTAACAAGGCCCAGAACATGACAGATGATTAGACCCACATTTGCTCCTGGCAGCAGTCTGGGCTGCTGGGCGGCCTTCGGCCTCCATCTCCTCAATGCCCGGAGGGCCCAGGTCTCCCCGCCCTACCTCAGGGACGTGTGCTCAGGACAAATGAGATAAGAATCTGGAAAGCATTTAATTTCTTTGGAGCCCAAGTCATATTTTCATAAGATCATTTTATCACCCTAAGAACTGTGCATATCGGGAAGCATCTGATGGCATATTTTAAAAGTGATGTTTTAAACACAGGAAATGGGCCACGGGGGCGCGTGGCTTGTATGCGTGGCCGGCCTGACTCAGTTTGTGCTCTGTGGAAAGAAAGGGTCTCTGGAGCCCCTCCTGAATACACTCTT